CCCAGTCGTAAGGTACTGGCACCGGATTTCATAGGAGTCACAACTTCATGTGACACTGGAAGAGTGTTTAGGACCAGCTAGCCGGGTCATCATCAACCGTTTATAACCGGCCACGAGACGGGCTCTCGACCAATAGGAATGGGTAGACTGTCTCTGGTATTTATGATGTTTAAATAACCAGTTTTTTATTTTGCTTTGGATGGCTTTGTCACACTACTACCCCGCTTCCATGCCCTAATCTTGTGTGACCAGTGTGTATCCGGATATGGTGGTGTTATTGTTACTATTTTTATTGAAAACGTAATCACTTTCAAGATTTGTATGACTGAAATTCTCAAAAAAGAGAATACGTATATCTGAAAAAAAAAATGTGTTTGTGTTCATTACAAAAAAATAGTGAACAGAGACAAGCTCGGTTTAATGTATTGAAGAACAAAATGGAATTTGTTTTGTTTTGTTGTTTTTGTTGTTGTTACTATTTTTATTGAAAACTTAATCACTTTTAAGATTTGTATGACTGAAATTCTCAAAAAAGAGAATACGTATATTTGAAAAATTTGTTTGTGTACATTCAAAAAAAAAAATAGTGAACAGAAACAATAGTGAACAGAGACGATTTTATGTATTGAAGAACAAAATGGAATTTGTTTTGTTTTATATGCGGAGTGAAATAGAAAGTTGCTAACATTACAAAAAAAGATACGCAAACCTAAAAACAATAATAATCATGAAACCGTGTTTTATGCACGTGTGCAGGGAGCTCATGGTGTCCCGTGGGAACTGAATGATTAGAATATCCATCCCACCTAGTCATGTTATTTAGATACTTGAGAACACAAACAAAATACGTTTTTGCCGAGGGCGGCAATCTTTGATTTCAACACATGATGGACGTGTTTTTAAATAAAAACAATGGAAAGGAAAACCAGGGGAATGGGACGTAAACAATGTTTGTTCAAAACAAATATCCATCCTACACAGAAATGTATCCGAGGTCGGGAAACTTTTGTCGTGACTTGAAGTGAAACAGGTTGATAAAGTAATAATAACAGTACAAGAGAGCAAGAGTTTATTTCGCTTTATGGCAAACTGACAAGCTTAGCACTGAGAAAACTAACAATTTATCTGCGTAAATTCTATGTTTATCATTATTATTATTATTATGAAAGCCGAACTGCGGTTCGATTTACATTTCAATAAAATTTGAAAATGGTTAAAAAGTTAGCACAACAGTCATACAAACCTTGCAATATTTATTTCTTGTTATAGATATACTACAAATCTGCAGGTGATTTTAAGTGTTTATAGTGTATTTCGAGTAATTTCTGGGCGATTTGGCAGATGTTTGATAAAATTTGGCAGATGTTTGTTGAATTTTGCGTATACGTCTGTTTATTTTATTTTTTTTATGACTGTAATGCGCATTTGAACATATTTTAAATGGAATTTGCGCACTATGAATTAATAAATTATTATTATTATTATTATAAATCTGACAGATTGTTGAAGTGCATTTAGCAGAATTTGGCCATGACTTTGCGGTCACCCTGTCGGGAGACTTAAATCACTCTGTTTAAGACCGCTTGGAGTCTGCGTGCTGATAGTTACCCGAGCAGAAGGCGATACATGTTTTGGGTGCAAACAAATATTATTCGATGGGTTCAATTCGCTTCATAGATTGAGAAAAGACACTTTCTTCCCTATCCTATTTTTTTCTGTGTTATTTGGGTGTTCTGATCAAAAACTAACTATTGACTGGCAAAGAACAATATGTGAGTTGGCCAACAAACAGATTGCTGGCATGTCAATCTCCTTTCATCCACTTTGCTGCAAATTGGAACACATTGATACATCATCCCTTTCAATTAACTACCTATATCCCTGGATGTAGGTGTCCAAATGAGATAGGAAAAACAGCATTGTGTTGAGAAATAATCATTCTTTAAGCGTATATAAATTATTATTGAACAAAATAATGTACATGTATTTGTTTCCCTCTAAATGTATTATTTTTTTTTAATACACACTGTAGTGGAGATGACCTAAACGTCGGTAATGGAACGCACAGGACTTGCGCAAGTATGGGCCTGGTGGATTGTAAATACGGCTTAGAACTTTAAACGGGAAGTACTTTTGATGGCAATTATATTTGGTACATGCACAAAAAACAACTGCAGCGAGGGTAAAAAAACAGCGGCGGCAGTGCAGTGCGCCCTCTAGCAGCTGATAGGGCTGCTTTCATCGCCGTCAAACAGTACCTACTCCAATGGGTGGGGGAGGGTTCGAAACCCCTCACTTTGCCTTTGACTCATCAGGAACATCCAATTTTGTAATAAGAGAACATTTCATGACCTTTTATGTGCAAACGGTATAATTAACAACATATTAACGACCAACTTTATGGAAAACGTTTTAAAAGCAATGAGGTTTAAAATCTTTGATTTTTTTTGATAAGTAAATCAATTATATCGCGAGACTGACCCCATAAGAGAAACTTGGGATTCCTTTATGGGGAAAGAATTTAGTATCCAGACGCCACTTCAGTCGTGAAGTGCAAAGTCTATCATTATAAGAGTCAAGAATATATATATTTTTTAAGTGTTTCCTAACAAAAGTGAAAATGTTTTTCAGTTCCAAATTCATGTTTTTTAAATGTTTTTGCAATGACTGACCTTTAATTAGATAATATATGAAGAAAAAAGTGACGTCAAGTTGCACTATTTTGGTCCATAATGTGGACCAAAAGTTCCTGTGGGTCTCATTAAGGTATCTAGCTTGGTGGCATACTCTAATTCTTTCGGTTCCCACGGGAATCAATGTCATGTCATTACGCTGTCTGACTAATCAATCAAATTAAGAAAGAAACAGAAAACATTTTTCTCTTTGAAACAGGCAGTAACAAGCCAAAATGAATAATCATAATAAAAGAGAACACTTTGACATGTGGATATTCTTGGTAATTCAACACATAAAAGATGAAATATTAAACTTGGAAACATAATGTTATTAATCCATAAATTCCTGTACCGCCTCCTATAAGTGCCATGCCTGTCACGCCTTAAACTGTTACTAGCCCAAACTGCTGCAGCAGATGGTGTTATGAATTCATCAAGGAATAAATAAACTTCCACAGAGAAGTATTATCATACAGTCGAAGCCCTTGCACATGATGGACGTGTTTTTAAATAAAAACAATGGAAAGGAAAACCAGGGGAATGGGACGTAAACAATGCTTGTTCAAAACAAATATCCATCCTACACAAGAAATGTGTCCGAAGTCGGGAATCTATTGTCATGGCTTGAAGTGAAACAGGTTGATAAAGTAACAATAACACTACAAGAGTGCAAGAGTTTATTTCGCTTTATGGCAAACTGACAAGCTTAGCACTGAGAAAACTAACAATTCATCTGCTTAGTTTTTATGTTTATCATTATTATTATGAAGGCCGAACTGCGGTTCGATTTACATTTCAATAAAATTTGAAAATGGTTAAAAAGTTATCACAACAGTCATACAAACCTTGCAATACATGTATATATTTCTTGTAAAGGATATACTACAAATCTGCAGGTGATTTTAAGTGTTTATAGTGTATTTCGAGTAATTTCTGGGCAATTTGGCAGATTTTTGATAAATCTGACAGATTTTTGAAGTGCATTTAGCAGAATTTGGCCATGACTTTGCGGTCACCCTGTCGGGAGATTTTAATCACTCTGTTTAAGACCGCTTGGAGTCTGGGTGCTGATAATTACCCGAGCCGAAGGCGATACATGTTTTGGGTGCAAACAAATATTCGATGGGTTCAATTCGCTTCATAGATTGAGAAAAGACACTTTCTTCCCTATCCTATTTTTTTCTGTGTTATTTGGGTGTTCTGATCAAAAACTAACTATTGACTGGCAAAGAACAATAGGTAAGTTGGCCAACAGAGAGATTGCTGGCATGTCAATCTCCTTTCATCCACTTTGCTACAAACTGGAACACATTGACACATCATCCCTTTCAATTAACTACCTATATCCCTGGATGTAGGCGTCCAAATGAGATAGAAAAAACAGCATTGTGTTGAGAAATATTCATTCTTTAAGCTTAAACTCCACCCGTGACGTCACCCTATTGTCCTAGCGCTCCATTATTTTGCATTATTTCCTCGGGCCATTCTTACCCACGAATGTCGCGTACCTTGGGCATTATCCTTTACGTATATAAATTATTATTGAACAAAAAAAAGAAGCTAGTACATGTTTTTTTCCCCTCTAAATGTATTATTTTTTTAATACACACTGTAGTGGGGATGACCTAAACGTCGGTAATGGAACGCACAGGACTTGCGCAAGTGTGGGCCAGGTGGATTGTAAATACGGCTTAGAAGCCATGATTGTGATGTCGTCCGCGTACTTAAACTTCAAACGGGAAGTACTTTTGATGGCAATTATATTTGGTACATGCACAGAAAACAACTGCAACGGGGGTAAAATAACAGCAGCGGCATTGCAGTGCGCCCCCTAGCAGCTGATAGGGCTTCTTTCATCGCCGTCAAACAGTACCTGCTCCAAGTTGGTGGGGGGGGGGGGGGGGGTTGGAACATCAAATTGTGTGATTTTATGTAAAGAACCGTTCATGACCTTTTTTATGCAAACGGTATATATTTAACAACATATTAACGACCAACTTTATGGAAAACGTTTTAAAAGCACTGAGGTTTAAAATCTTTGATTTTTTTGATAAGTAAATCAATTATATCGTGAGAGTGACCCATAAGAGAAACTTGGGATTCCTTTATGGGGAAAGAATTTAGTATCCAGACGCCACTTCAGTCGTGATGTGCAAAGTCTATAATTATAAGAGTCAAGAATATATATTTTTTTAAGTATTTCCTAACAAAAGTGTTTTTTAAATGTTTTTTGCAATGACTGACCTTTAATTAGATGATATATGAAGAAAAAAAGGGACGTCAAGTTGCACTATTTTGGTCCATAATGTGGACCTATTTTAAAAGACTTTGCTATCTCTCGAACCAAACTGTATACAACTGTACATGTAAGCCTACTTATTTTCAGGGAACTTGGGTATTCAGAAAGACTCTCTTGAACATTTTTAAACTATATTCGCAGGATACCCTGGAGAAAAAAAAATAGAATCTCCGTGATATTGCAGGTCTCGTCTGACTTAAGGCAAAAACCTATAACTGGACACCAATTATAAAGAACGTACAAAAGATCGACATTGTTATTATTAGATTACTTTAATTTACACTCAACTTTGCAAAACAAAATACAGTAAACTTGACAAAAAAAATAGAGGGCAAAATAAACGGTAAAGTTCTTCAAAACAAACAAAAAAGTCAATTTTTTGTCATATCCATGGACGAGTTTTATAATGTTTGAAAGAGGAACATTTAGTGTGCACAATAATTTATTTATACTGGTTCGAATTGCTGCCGAGCTTTGTACCATCCAATAAAAACAACCATGAAGTTATTAATCTTGAAAAGAAATTAGAATAAATGTATAGACTGCCCTTGTGCATGTACATCCAAACCTCTGCAAATATTATCTCGTATAAAAATACACCTAGAAATTTAAGAATAAAAGTATTTAAAACAAATGTTCATTTCTGTTCATTTCTTCTTTTTCCCACCGTCTTTTGTCGTGGTCTTCCCGGCGGCTTTGGCCGCTGGCTTAGCGGCTTTGGTGGTTTTCTTGGCCGTGGTTTTCCCCGGGGACGCCGCCTTGGCCGCTGGTGACTTCTTGGCCGCTTTCTTGGCTGGGGATTTCTTCGTTTTGGCCGCCGTCTTGGTTTTAGCCAAGGCTGGTGAAGTTGCTGTCTTCTTGCGTCCAGCTGCTGTTGCTTTGGCTTTGGGCTTGATCAGCTTGGGTGTGCGGAGCGGGGAATGCGACTTACTCAACCGGCTCCGGATTTTCTTGGATTTGCTGACCCGCGGAGTGGCGCTGACGGACCGCGCACGGGCCCGGGGTACGGGCTTGGACTTCTTTCCCTTCGGTGTTGCCGAGCGGCTACGACGCTCCGCATTGGCAACAGCATCAGCCTTGGCTTTCTTCAACAGTTTTGCTTTGGGGTTTGCTTTCTTGACGGCCTTGGGGGCCGGTTTGGGCTTGGTCGGTCTGTAAAACCCCATGAGCACACCCTTGCTTGCATTGTCTTTCTTGGGTCTCTCGATGAGCTGCCGAGCCATGCCCGTCTCCAGGGCCTTCCTAAGGAGGGTCTTATGCGTGGCCGTGCTGTCAGGGTAGTTAGCGTCGATCCAGGTCTTGATGGCTTTCACACTGGTGCCTTTACGGGGGTTGTCGTTACAGGCTTGTAGGGCCTCCACTACTTTGTCGAGAGTGCTGGGCCGGGCCGACCGGGCTTTCTTGGGAGCTTCAGTGCCTTCAGCTTTCCCGTTCATGCTCTCAGTCACGGTAGAGTCCGCCATTGCTTCACTGATAATGTTCAACTCTTAATAGTGTAAGAACTAGGTTTCTGTACGATCCAGCTGTACACTTACAACAATTGTTCAAAGCAGTCAGCAAGACAAAGGCGAATCTGCACACGCTCGTTGTTCAGCAGCTCACCGCACGGCAGTCAGAAGAATTTGAAAGCTGACGTCACACCGCGCGACGTTTTTATAGCCTTTCTCCGGACGCCTGGGAGACCATCATGAATTATTCATGAGCACCACCCCAACGTGAAGCACGGTGTGAAATGTGTGCTTTCTGTGTTGATTTTATTGACGATTTTGCACTTTCAGAGATTATTTTAACCCTCGTTTCGTGTGGAAAACTTATAGTGTGACTTCACGGACGTCAGTAAATTTAAATTTTAAATTTGGATGACGGCAAAAGGGTATAAACGGCCTTGCAGTTTTTGCTTCTAAAATTAATTTATTCAAATTTTATATATTTCGTGTCTACAATAATATGAAACCCTAACATTTTGAATTAAGACTTAAGACTTTGTATTTCCTAGTATGCCTGATTACAGTTCGTACGAAAAGTCGTCAAATCTTGATGAGGAACATTCTTGGAAAATGCAACAAACAAACAACTCTAACAAAGAGCAAAGGTCCGTTTAAAATTTGAGACGGAAAGTTCTTTTTTGTTTCAATTTCGTAACAGATGAAATCATACTTTCACAATTCCTGGATTTGAAGCCAAATCAAAATTAACGTTTTCAGTTTCCGAAATGTATGCATTATAAGGGAACTTGTAGAAAACAGAAAAACCCCAACTACACGGTGGAATCGGTTATGTCCTTTGACCAAAACAATGAATTATTTGCAGAGATTTTGTTTGAGATTGTAAAAAAAAACATTTATTTTTGGTATGCTATTTTATAGGCTATATTAGTCTTTACCCATTACAATTAATGTTTAAAGAAAAATGTAAACGATTCTAGAATTAGACCTTCACCATATCATATATACTTAACAATAACAAATCTAAACAATTTTACTCCCGAATCACGGAAATTAAAAACACACGATTCAGTGTGTCCAAATGTCAGGGTGATTTGAAAACTGATTCAAACATGAAATAAGTTCATTTTATTTTCAAAAATAATGCAGTGCGGCGATCGTTTGCTTGGGATATTAACAAAATGACAAATTAACGAAATTGTCAATCAACTGGTTTCAAGATGACGAAAGTGATATCGGTGACAAGGATGAAACGAATGTCCAAGTCAATTGTCAACAAAGATTTTTGGACAAATTGTAAAATGAGGATTGATTGAGTGTTGTTTTTTGTTGACACTGAACCAAAAACCCACGGAAGTAAATTGCATGATTGACTGAAAATAATGTTGTCAAGATTCCTTCAAGGAAAGAACGAAGCAATTGAGACATTTTGTCTTTCGAGAAATCCCCCCCAAAAAGTTCAAATAAATTCATGTGTTATGCTAATCAAAAAATAATCTAACGTGAACGGAGGGGATTCAAACTGAGGCAGGAAATATGACGTCAAAATATCGACGACTGGCACGACGATAAATGGGTGGTTCTACGGGGAGGGTGTTAGCGGGTCAAACCCCCCCCCCCCCTCCCCCCTCCACCCTCCGCCAAATAAAATCATGCGGAATAAGCTGCACATGCCTGCTAAACAGGCCAACACCACCAACAGCTAATTCCTTCATTGAGCAAAGCCAGATTCGCCCCTGCGCTGACAGTACCGGTACGTGCCATGGTGACAAATACGAAAAGAATGATATCTAAATGTTGACAACGATGACAAGATTGATAACGGTATCGACAATAACGATCTGACGATGACAGTTTCGACAATGAAGACGGTCGTGACAATAAACAGAGGCAATAACTGGATAACGACAACGACATCAGTATTGCGATTGAGACAATTATGACGGATACGTAATGCAATTTTGTGGTGTATGACACTGACAATTATGACGCATTTGCCAAGGGCGGATCCAGAACACAATTTCTTCCACTTGTATTGTGGCGTAACTGTAGGGAAGGGGCAGCCTCCTCCCGCTCGAGGCCTATGCCCCCCCCCCCTCCCAACCTTCACCCGCCCAAAGTTTAGGGAAAGGAATAAATGATTTTCATATTGTTAACTAATTGAGGGCCCCCTGCAGAAATTGAGGGCACTTAAAATTACCTCTTAGCCTGCAAGTGAAACCAAGTGATAGTTACTCCGTTTAAGCAGAAGGAGTGGGGAAAAGCTGACGAACCATGAACGAAAGACGCTAGCCCCCCCCCCCCCCGGCAAACTGTACTGCCAATAATTTGCTACGGTTAACGGTAAACAGCCCCCTCACTCAACGGGTTTCAGTTAGGGCCTCAATTGTACTGGCTAGATTGCCACTCCTTCAAGTATCTTCACGCGAACGGTAGTCAGCGTTTCAGTGCACAAACCTCCTCATGAGAACCGGGGGTATCTCTGACAAATTGAACATCTTCAAAAGTGGAGTCTTCCCGAACAGCGGACGGATTTGTTCCTTGCATCACTGCTATTGTGCAGCGTGTTGTTTTTACCGCGGGCGTGGATCATCATTGCACCGTTTGTCATTTGAATGTGCCTGTGTAATGAATGGGTATCGGTTTGGTTACTTTCTAACGGTTTTTGACGGGCTGGACGAAGGCAACAATTGGAACGTGTCGAGAGAACCAACTTAAGAGGGAGTGTTGCTAATAATGCGCGTCATCCAATCAAATACGGCCGGGTAAGTCTAAGACTCTATTATACACTATCAAAAAATCCTTTCTTCAATCTTCAAAGTTAAATTCTTAAACCTTACTCGGCAGGATTGCACAAAATATTACGTTGTTCTTTTTTTTTTCTTTCTTTGCTTGCTTTCATTTCAAAGCAACTTCTTGCCTTTTTTTCCACGCTGTCAACTTTAATGGGAAGACTGTTTACTCCATTTATTTGGTAATTGATCAAAAAAGGTACATTTCACAAAATAGAACTCATTTATGAAATTATTGGAATGATAATTACCAAGATTGGCACCTTAGAGCGACATTCTCATAGGGTTTGGCCCACAATTGTCAACTTCTTTCATGATCCCTAACCCCCATTTTAACCTTATCCTATACCCAAATATTTTTGGTATATTAATGTTTTGGACCACGAGCAATCGATCTAGTTTATTTGCGACAATAAAAGTTTGCCTCTAAATAGGAGTTGTGACATGTCTCCTTAAGGGTAAACTAACAGGAATACCTGTCATGCTTATTAACGAGTCCTCTGCTTATTATCCACAGCGAATACAGATATTGGCCTATACATGAATTTATACCCAAAGCCTTTGAGTTTACATTTTTCGGCACAGTTCTTATTTTCAAAATTACATGCACTTGTGAATTGGAATCGTTTGTGCTACTTCATTAGTCCCCTAAACAGAGAAATCACAGTCCTGTTAGTTCATAAACCAATGCAGTATTATCGATTAAATAAAAATGGTTATGGTGTTCTGATTTGGTTATTTAGACTTTTCCGTCACATTAAAGCTTTTTTTTTTGGCAAATGAACATTTTGGATTTCAGATCATAGAGAGAGAAAAAAATTCTTCAAAACCAGACACTTTTGAGCAATTATTCGCACGCTATAATGTGTTGTTTGTTGAAATTGGATTATTTCTCAATACAAAACTCAACATGATTGTTGGGGTAAAATCTGATTTGCCTGAGCAGGATAATTGGCAATATAAAGGCTGGGAGGTCAAGAGAAAGAAAGGACGTCTTTGAGTTCGTTATCAAGTCAACATGTTATTCCCTAGAGGCTCGGATGTATCGGCCGAGCTGGGAAGGTACGTGGTACTATTCTGGGAAAAGTCGGGCCTGAGAAATGAGATGTAGGCCTAATGACTGTCTGTTACCCGGTCCCTAGAGGGCAGTGTAATCTGGTTACATGAACAAGGAACAGACGCGCTTGCTGCAGCGTTTTCAAAAGTACCGTCATTTATTACAAAATATTGTAGCTGCATCGTGTTTACGGTATGAAGAACACATGTTTGTGCTTTGGGTATGGTCGATAATAATATTATTAGGCAAGAGCGTGTGTGGTGAGGTAAATGACACTGCGATTTGACAGATACTTCTAATGTTCAACTTTGGCAAGAGAGATGCAAAGTGCTGCGGGACATCAACCTACACTGTAAAAACTGTGTTTAGCAATTAAACACTTTTCTAAACACTTTCTTGCTATCAGTTTGTAAAGGCATGTTTAGCGTAAGGATGGATAGTGTTTAGCAATTGAACATTGGTGTTTAGGAATTTGACATAATGTTTAGCGTCTAAACATGTTAACAAAGTGATAGCAAGATTGTGTTCAATTGCTAAACACAGTTTTTAGAGTGTACAAATCGTCTGATTCGTCTCACTTTTTGCTGGTCTCAGAGGACCAGCCTATAGTCCTCTCTGCACCTGACAGACAGACTGACCGACCGACCGACCTTACTGGATGACTCACTGTCTCATTGCCTTTTTAAAGCTATAGTCCATCATTTGCAGCCATCCGAAAAGTAACTGGCGTAATTACTGTTGAAAAACAAACTTGGTTGAAAGATAGCAAGGGAACTAAACTCCCTGTGAAATTATTCTTTCCGGGAAGCTGTCATTTTGAAGTAATCCACGAAAGAAGGCATTTTCAACGGTGATTCTTAAGAAGCACCGTAGGAAAATTTAAATTAGTAGTTCGTTTTGTTATTCAGCGCAGCGCGCACAAGTATTGGAACGACGCACACGCGCGCGCGGTTGTTATAATTCGTCGGATCAGTGCACGGTACGACGCCGCGTATAGCTGCAATTCAAAACAATTCAAAACATGATTCAGTAACTTTTGATTTGAAATTGAGATTTTAGAATGCTGCTTTTCTCGGAATGTACAGCTGAAGCTTAGCTGAAACTTCATCAGGTTAGTTGCTCAGTATCCTTCATTAGAATTTGAACACTTATGTTGCTTCAAACGAACAAAATGCACTAATTACAAATGATGGACTATAGGTTTAAGCTGACTTGCAATCACTTGTAACTGAATAGCCTGGATATTTGCTATAGTGAATTTGAGAGCCGGTCAGTGCTATTGTATAGGGGTACCCATAATGGGCTACATCTGACCGTTGTATACACCAGATGCAAGAAGAGAATTCCTATAAATAGCCATTCTGAATCAATTGAATAGAAATCTGTGTACATTAGATCAAGCTTTACTGTAGATATATACTGTACATATTCCTAATTTCTTTTGTTGTTTAAAGTTGTCTATCTTATTTTTTTTTTCATAGAATTTTATTTTTTGAGCTCAATTTACATGACTTCCTCATAACTCTTGTTGAATAAACCTTTCCAAAGCTTGCTCGGTGACATGCTTAGCGAGCTTTTTGAGATAAATTAAAGACATCAAATAATTATTAGTCGTAGGTGAAATCGTGCAGTTATTCCTTATGCATAATATCCCGTATCTTTAAAAAAAATTCGGGACTTTATCAGAAGGAAAAATCAAGTTGACTCAAAATGCAGTACAAAATTTAGTCTGTGATTTACACTAAAGTCATTTTTAACCCGCTAAACCGTGGGGTACGTAATCTTCTGTATTAATAAAAGTAATCATAGATGTACCTAGTTGCATCGATAGCACACCATTCTTAACTGAATCGATTAAAAGTAACAGAAGAACCCGTTCTAATTTTGCATAGCGGGGCACGTGTTGAGGTCTTTTGACTGCGCTCCGGCTCCGTTGTGCATTCCGATAACTGGTCTATATGAGAGGGATGATTATAGCTCCCCTCAAATAACTGTCCACTTATCCCTACAAGAAAAGACCCATCCGTTATGTTAATGACACTACTGTGTGTGTGTGTGTTCTGGGTTTTTTCTGCTTCAATTTACAATTAGCATGTCACGCGTGGAGCTGGGCTTTGTCCACAAGAAAAACATCAGCCGCGATTTCGGTGGATTCATGGACGCAAATGTCCGCCAGCACATTTGTTTTCTGCAACCATGTATAGTTACCTACCAAGACACGCAAGCGTTAACATATCGCATAATTGACAAAGAAATATCGCATAATTGAACAGGAAATATCGCATGATTTAGAACAACTTCATAAGTTTTAGTTTTCAAGTGAAAATTGAAACGACACCGTGGCCGATGGTAATCCCAAACGATGAAATGAAATAAATTCTCATTTTATTTCCAAATTCGTGACTCTGGAGACGACTTGGTCTCCAATGAAATAAAATCCGACAACCATTCAGTTTACAACTGACACATTCGCAGATTGGACGGTGACTCTACTAGGTTGCATTAAAAATAATTCGTGCCCGCGACCTTTTGACCATTCTATCCCCTAGTGACAGTGACGCGTTTGGAGAGTGTATTTCCAATTAACGGTGAATGCAGCAGTTGAATAGAGGGATCATAGGGGCATTGACTGGTGGCCGGTAGCTGGTATTCTTCCGGAATTAGGATTTGGATGAGCAACGATTCATTGTGTAATACATACCGACCGTTATTAGTTCAACCGTTTATTTTGTACTTAGTTTAACTCGTGCTTTCAAGTATAGGCCCTAGGAATAGTCGCTTGATGAGAAACGTTGGAGGAAAAGTTGGAGGCGTGTAACTCGCACCCATGGTAAGTGTGTATTCGTGGTAAATGTTTTAATGTTCGGTAATTTTATGTTCTAAAATGTAGCTGCCTCCCCCAAAGCAAATTTAGCAATTCTTGCTGAAATTATTTTGGAGATGTTAACTGCCTAGATTTTGTTTCGGTAGGGTCGTTCCAACAGTTGGTAAAACCGTCACCCTACCTCAAATTGAGAAAATTTCACACAGATTGTCGGGTTGAATAAAATTGGCCATTTTTCAGCGCTACTATATATACAAAATATTGCAAGCAGCTTCATGTTTAAAAAAAAAATGATTAAGATCTATTCCACGGGCCATGCTCTTAAAAAAAATGGATTTTCCAATTTATTTGTTTTGACAAAAAAAACTACTTTATTCCGATGTTGGGCGTCTGTAACCCTCTGAAAAAGGAAATTCGTTTGGCATACAAAATAATCATAACGATAATAATGTGGTGTTTATATAGCGCTTTATACCAAAGGTCTCAAAGCTCTTCACAATCAGTACCCCTGTTCATCAGGCCATGAGACCAGTTTTTGCAGCAGCTCGAGATCAGCGTATTCTGTTCCCTACCTTAGCATGCACCCATCTATACTCCTGGATGGAGAGGGGAAATTGTAGTAAAGTGTCTTGCCTAAGAACACAAACGCTATGTTCCCCGTCAGAGTCGAACACCGAAACCATTAAACCATTAAACCACAACCTCGAAAAAAGCACCCGGAATGCATCTTTAGGTGTAACTGTTTTAAAGTCAGCACCACATTGAACAACGTACGGCAATTCGTGTTTGTCTTCTGTCTTCTGCGCTAAGAACAGTTCTGTACTTCTGTACTAAGCAGAAATTCCATAAAATTGCGGCACATTTAGAACAAATCAGTGTTTATTTCGTACAAAAAGCAAAGTTGGTGCGTCACTTATTTGAAGCGGATGGCAGTTGTATCGATTTGAACAAAAATGAGGTTACGAGAGTAAATAGTAATAACACCTGGCAAAGTCAATCATATCAAAGTCAATATTTGATTACGAAATGGAATTGAACTTTGACGCTTTTCCGCTAAGATCTTCCTTCAGTCTATCAAAAAGCAAATGGCAAAGCATTAGTCACTGCGGTTCGTTGATTGAAATATCGACTACTGATAGTTTCTGAGATTGCTGTTCGATAACCTCCTTGTCAAAAAATGCACTGCCGTGTCGTATTTGACTTCACCTAATAAATATAGTATTCCATAGCAATACAAATTAATCAGTTTAGAATGAGCTATCACCATTTTTGACCCGGACACAAAACCTGAATAAGCTGCTGTTGCGCAGGATAGTTTATGCATTTTAGAGTTTCCGAATTAGTTTAGAGATCTTCGGTATGAATTTGCAAATCATTGCACAACCAAATTCTTCGTTTTGATGTAACGGTAAAGCACATAATTATTTGTGAGTTTTCCTCATTACAAGTTTGGATATTAATTTTGTCACAGTGATATACTTGCCCATGAAATTGATGTGTATGCAGCACATATTCACAACTATGTGAACATTTCTTAAAAGCTAAACGTAATCTGAAATTCAGACAGCACTGTCTGGGCTTGTCTTTATTGTAAATAACATACAAAATATATGAGATGATGCCTAGAAAAGGCTGGACGCACTTTTTGTCCAAAATTACTCTTGACACAGGAAATAAGACCAGAACAATGTTGATAGACCGAGCTTGTCGATGAAGCTCCTAAAAGACCAAGAGCGGATCCAGAATACAATTTATTTTTGGTAGGCCAGAAAAAAATATTGGTCCCCCAAAAAAGTGAAACCAAAACAATTAGGGCGTGGGGTTAAAAAATTGTTGGATTCCAAATGCTCTGTGGTGCGAACTGAGGCAATTTCTGACCACTTAAAGGGAATATACATCATTTGCTTTTGCTGTAATTTTCAGAAATGGATGGAATTGGGGGATTGGAAATATAAAGCAAATATAGTTACACTGACTTTTTGGAGGTTTTGGGTTCGAAAATGCTATAAAAACCAAGAAAAACGATCATTTACCCTGTAGTCTGGTTCCCTGACTCCATATAAGAAGAAACAGAGCAGTTTACATACATTGGGGAATTGTAAGGTCAGGGAACCAGTCTAGCTGGCTCGTACCCGTTCATAGGTTTGTAATCGATTGCAAACAAGTGCAATAGTCAATTGGGGCCAGTATTTGAAAAAAAGCCAGTTGTTTCCAACGCTGATCGGCCGATCAGCGTTGGAAATTGATACAAAAATACCACTTTTCTTGAAAATGACAGTATACCAGGTGCCATAATTTTACAGGATGCTTTAGACTGTCATTTACCAACGTCCTATTAAGGTATTTCGCAAAAACTTGGTAGTTTTATTTTTCGATGTTTGCAAATGTTGTATATTCCCTTTAAACCAGTTTTGTTTAAGGAAAATATGGTTGCGTACGCAGGGCCTGCCTTTATTGCGACGTCGCTTTAAAACAAACAAAAATGGATTCGTTTGGGCCCCCGTTGGCAAAAAATGTCGAGTCCACTTACATCCCTGAACTGTACTTGCAACACCAGAAATATTGAACTCCAACATCATTCAAATTGGATTCAGAATCGATAGTTCAGTAATACTAAATGAGCGACGCTTGTTGGCCCAGCATAAACTCCTACAACCCCTAGCTGCTGAATATAATTTCATCGTCGACCTCGCAACCCCGCAACAATTGGCCAATCAACCGCACAAAGATAAGCGTCAAACCCAATTCAAACAGACAATATTTTTGTTTTCTGTCGGCGTGTAGCCCGCGGGCTCGGCAGTACATGATACCTTTTTGTTGTTGTTAGGCTGTCTTTTGAATGGGCGGATATTCTCGGTCTGGTTGAGTGTCAGTCGGGCGCAAACATTCCTTTTTACAAGTGGTTGCTACTGTGCGCGTGTTGGCTAACTAGCTACCTGTACCTGTGCCTGCTCACTGTGTGGGTTCGCATTGTCGGCACAAGGACGCGCCTTTTGCGCGGTATCTCGGTGATTCTTTAGTGTCCGTTTGTGGATATCATCGTTCAGTTCGGTTCATGATTGATAAAGTTATATAACTAGATTGATAACCAGTGGATAACTGACGGTAAACACAGATCAAAATCTTCAAAAAACCCAGCTCCAATTCGTGGGAATAAATCGGACCTACGACCTTTTTTATCCTTGGACGATAATCACTGACAAGGTAAGACTTCTTTCAACGTGAGTCGTCAAAATTAACGTATAATTTAGACCGAAAAGTTAAAGGGTAGAACATAGTATCATGTTGGTACTTTATTTCACCATAAGTAGGCCTATAGCCTTGATGATTGGTGACGTGTCCAGTGTTAATGTGAAAAAAAGGAAATTTCCCACGTCTCTCCCTAGACTTTGTGCTCAACAATCATACAAAGTGGCGTCCTAATGCTACATGCTCCCAAGCAAAAGTGCAACTTTAACATTGAGATTACTTGGATCACGTCAATAACAATCTTTCAAAATGTGCATTTTTTTTGCATTACCTCATAAGTCTGTTTATTTCTGGTAAAGTCAATTGATCATTTCCAGTGGCGAATTTAGATGTTTTTCCTGTTTTCGGGTCAGGGCCAGTGGCTAAACAGGGTCAGGCCCTTTGCAGGAGGTACGATGCCCGCGGCATAAAACTGGTTTGACCGCAGTAAACGCGTATAGGCCTTCCCCGAAGGTCTAGGGCCTACAGGTATATTCACCGAATTCAAACGAAAAGTACAAGTAACCGTCATTTTAAATTGCCGTCAATTGACCAATGTAAGGCAAGCATATTTTCCTTTCTACTTAGTTAACACCTTTGTATTTTTTTATTGTAGGAAATAAGATTTGGAACTTTGCATGGCGGTAAACAAGTGAGGGTTTGCGGAGTCACACGGTCACAACCAACCGGTTCTTTTCAGAACCACACATCTCCTCAAAAGAGATTTGTCCAAATGGTGTTACCGCAAACCCACGCTACCTTTTTATTCTAACTAATTGGGTCCGTACGTTCATGATGGTCAATGCACTTCAAAAACTGGTTGTGTCGTATGGTTAGACTTGACTATTACAGAACTGCGTGAATTTTAGGTTTATAGCCACTTGTCATTATATCAGACGTTCAATGCTGGTTTTTGCTCCTTTCAGGGTTACAACATTTGTTCAACGTCACCGTGTCAAGGAAGTAATTTGCAGAATTAGAAGTTGTTTGAATCCTCAACATGACAATAGATTATACTTTCTGCATGCCACGCGTCACTGCCTTAAAGCAAACAGTGTAAATCAAATTATCATAATAAAATAATATCTCTGAGTGCGATTTGTGTAAAATAGAATTTTTCCCGGCACCTCTGGCCGACGCCGGTTGTATTGCGTGTCATATGCCACGGTCCATTACCCCTCGGCTTGTGTTTGACAATAGTCTAAATAGCACCTAAATGGAATTATGATTGAAATGTATAATCTTCTGCTTAACCACGGGGGTTCAATTGCCCAAAGGCACCAAAGCTTTTTAAAACGATCGAAGCCAACAGGAATACAGTCACGTTCGCAGTGATCTTTTGCAGGTTATTCGGACATATAGTGGGTGTCCTTATAGTTCTGTAGTACAGAAATGCTCATGTAGTTCACACCGCGTTGAAAACAAGGAGGTGTTTTTTTTAGGACGGGAGAGTCATCTGTGGGTGCAATTTGCCCTAAAACCATGGCCCGTCTTTGTGTATTTCTGTGAGAATTCGCAGTTTAGTGGATGTTAGCTCGAGAGCTTTTTAGAACATTGTCATTTTGCTATTGAATTTAGATTTCTACGTACTTCATTAGGCCTATGGGAAGACTTTCAAACTGGAAACCCGGGAAAGTCAAAAACAAGACAAGGCGGGCTTTTCATGCTTCTGGTCTTAAATGGGTCGAATATTTTTCCTTCCAATCTTAGGGGTAAAGCTCTCTTCGCCCGTCTACGGTTAATGACAGTCAGTCAACCAGTAAAATCAGTCATAGGGGGAGTCAGCCAGTCAGTCAGTCAGTCAGCTCATATACATATAGGTTCAAAAGACACCAGTCTGGCCTATAGTGACTAGCAAAATGTCTTCAGCAAAATTCAAGGAAACTATATAACATGGGACACCTCTTGGCACTATATTACACTGTATTTGTTTGTCGATGGTTGAAACATAGCTGTTCTCTCGGACATCATACAAGGCATGTAGTCAAATTGCTTGGATTGTTTTCCGGGGGATGAGGAGTTTTCCTTGGTTTCTTAGCCAGATTAAAGTTTCTCATGAAACACATGCATATTGTGCTTGGTGTTATGTGCTCATCCTGCAGACCGCACGAGATTACCACTTACTTGAATATGCTTGCAAGACGATTGGGACACGTTCGATATTACCCCGACACCAGCACCTACTGTTCAATGTCAATTCATCATAAGCATTTCCCTTCGATTATACCAGTGAATGAATTATTGTTCAAGCAATAGGACATAAGAATAAACATGTCTGGTCGGAGACTTCAAAATACAAATAGTCGTGATTCATTATTCCCTCTTCCAATACACATCAAAGCTTATTGCACACCTGATCGCCAATGCACATCGCTAGTATTAAACCTCTGACATAATGGGATATCAGTTTAAGCTGTGTGAGCATTTCCTTGGAAAGTATTAAGTCCGGCTGGCTGAAAACCAATCAAAATACCACTCAGGGATTATTTCGAGAGGCTTACTATATTCATTCGCTGCGGTCTCTCTCAGCAGTCTGCCGTTGAATAAGAAGATAGAAATAAACCCTTCTATTATTTTGATGAATTTCAAATCGCCGGGTTCGAGACACGACCACCTGTAGCGATGCTTACAGCTATTACCCGGTTTCCTGCTTCTTTGAAGCTGATAGTTTTACCGCCAAATGTGTCAGCACCCAAAAACCGGAGCTGAATCATCTGGTCGTAAACGCGGGCTTAAAAAGAGATTTATTTTATTATTTCGCTGTATAGTTGTGAGAAATTTGAGCTGCTTAGTTCATGTTTGAGTTATCTGAAAGATGTCAGAAAATAATAATGAAGTTTATTTTTACACCATCTCCGTGGCTCCCTGCATCATTTGGATTGGTCATTCAAAGGCTTCATTAACAAACTAATAAAGAAGTGAATAAGAAGTCAGCCTTAAGATATTAAGACGAGTGATCCCTTTATATCGATCTGATATTTATGGGTTTTTTTAAATTCAAAATATGCACAGTTTTTCTCGTCTAAGGCGTATTATACAAAGTTTGCAATAGTTCACATTTAGACGATAGAGGGCGCTGTCTTGTGTTTTTGGCACTCATTCAGTGTAGTGTTTTGTTTTTACGTGATATCAGTGTATCAAACCATGTGGCTATTAAATAGCGTCATGATTGAACCGCTTGCTACTTATTTTTTTGTGACTTACGCAAACTTTGATGTTGGCATGCGCGATGCAGACCTAGGCGTATAACATTTTCATTCGTCTAATCATAGAGGAAGGAAAATATGGTCTAATCGGAGAACAATTCATCAGACAATGTGCTCCTAATGCTAATCCAATTAAGACGCATTCACGATCCGCCCTAAATGTACTAATGGCTCCTTATCAAGAATGCGGGTATTGATCTTCTTAAACGCTAAGACCATTTAGCCAACACCGCTACACAATAACCGCGAGGGTGCTGTGGTCAATAATCGATACCGACCGCCTTTGCTTACCTTTCAGAATCGATTAGTTTCCATTGAGCCAACATTTCACGCTCAACTGAGCGAAGACTTTGTAATCAATAAGAAGGGCACGTTTCAAGGAGCATTTACCGACATCCTAGTTATAAATTTAGAATGATTCGCCTTCTTAAAACACCCATCATCGATTGTTTTGTTTGTACCACACACAGGTCCTGCCGAGTTTGAAGGGAAAACGAAAACGGTTAATCGACTCCTGGAATTCTAGGCCACGGTAAACAGTGACTAGCAGCAAGCTTGTGCCAGTAGTATCATCTCAACTGCCACTCAAGCAACTGCTCATATTCATAAGCTTTACCAATGAATAGCTTTGGTGTATGATTTAGCAACACTGAACGACACCACCAACCAAGTCGGTAGCCGGGATTAGTCAACTCAACTGGAGGGCCTTTTACAAAGAAACACTCGAGCGGTGATCGTCAGAAGATAAACGAACCCTGAGAGTAAATATCGGTGCTTTGAAATTCGTGAAGAGCGAGGCACGGGGAGTGCCAGTCGGTTGCCAGTTGCCGGCGAATTCTCGACGGGGAGGACCTCGCTGGACACGGCGGAGCTCAAGTGCCAAACTCCGGTGAAGGGCATTATTGTAGATTCTTACTGCAGGTGAGTTCAGCTCTTTATTTTCCTCTCCTGGCGAAATTAAAGAGCCATTTGAAAAAAAAAGTTTTCGAGCAGATACCGCTACCTGCTTTGCTTCAATATCTTTCCCATATTTTGGGGAAATAATTTCTCTTGTAAATATAACCAAAATGCTGCTAGTCCTCATCCGGAACTCAGTACATGTATTCAATAACATAACAAATTCATATATTTCTAAGCATTGCAAGTGATGGTTTTTGGAGTTATACAATTGCCATATTGGTCAAGTGATGTTGTTTGATTTTCGAGAGCTTGGTATAACATGTTTTTATACGATTATATTTATCTGCCATGATTATATTTATTTGGTAACGGGAAAATATTGTCGATGCTCTTTTATTGATTTCTTTTTCGTGGAGGAAGTAGTTGTGTTGATTAACGTCCATCCCTCGAACCACTTTCTCAAAACTCGTAAAAAAATGTTTCCTGGAAAATCATTACTATCCGTTGCCTGTTCCGTGCACAGGGAAGCTACATACACATTATTGAATGTGTACGGCAATAACTTTGAAACATGTACCATGAAAGTTGTCAGTAAAAATTGAGACCTTGGGCAATAATTGCAATATCATTCGTCATTATAGATTCAAACGATATAGGTACGGAAGCTGCAAAATATGTGTATAGTGTCAGACACGAAATATTTGTGAGGTACGTGTATTGTGTTCTTACATTCTGCGGTTCATAGTATCCATCTTTTTGAGGAGTGGGTTTACTGACTCGTAGTACATTCTTCACCGTTGGAGATGTATTGTAGAATAAATCTCTGACGGAGCTTAGAGGCATCAAAGTGAAAAGCCCTTTTGTACGGAATAAACTGTAATCCGTAAGAACCGTTATTCTGCTTAGACCGTACTAATCACAGCCATTGTTCGCTTGGGGATGACAGCGGTGAGCTTTATTTGCGAAGAACTGAAACACGAGTAGACATCGTTGCAAATTGGTGACATTTCTGGTGGATAAACTATGGGTTTAAAGCAAGATTACCAAATCAACTCCAATCTTTATACATGGTTACCGCTAACCGTTTGCACTCTTATTCTCTACACGTCACTTATGTAACTCTTCAGTCAGATATGAAATCACCAACATTGTCCACTGGTAAATTTCACAGTTTACATTTAAATGTCCCCAAATCGGATTCCTAACTGGTATTGAACATCCTCCAAATGCTGCGTGTTATGCTCAATGTATGGGGATGATGATGTACACCGAAGAAAACAACCACCAAAACAACAACTCCGATATCAGATCAAAAGCATGTCCATATAAAGCTGATTTCTAGAGTAGTCAATCCTAATTTAACATCATAGTTGTGACAGGTTGGTGAAAATCTTGCAAGATTAAACCTATTGAAATAGAAATATGAAGATTTGATACAATTTGTAAACTCCAAACGACGTTTTAAAATATGAAATGCCGATTAAGAGAAACGCCCCAGTTCTCGATCATAAGCAGGCCTACTAATCCAATTCGATGTGGAACGTTATTAATTAGTAACAGAGTTAAGTGCTCTTACGTACGATAAACATTTGCAGAGTGGTTTTGTTCTGTGTTTGATACAGTGCACATTTTTCTGGAGATTCATTATTATAAAAGACAATACGCCGTTGGTACGTATATTACTCGGTTGTCGCATTGCTCTATGGTTGTCGCAACACAAACACCAAGTTTCGCTATTTCCCCTTACCAATAAGATAATGGACTACTTAGGCGATGATGCATTGTTGATGACATGAAACCTATGCAAATGTATACCTTGTTTGCACTGTGGAGTGAAGAATGCCAGTATATACGTTTACACGGAAAGTATATGCAGGACACGAAACACAAGAGTTGCTTGAAAGACTACATCCACGTATGCAAGAGGAACGTTCATTTCAAGTGTCGTTACTCATTTTTGTCAATGCGGAAAGAAAAAAAATGATATGAGCATGAAGAGCAACGCACTGAAAAATGGAGTTAACTCTATAACCATTTCAGATACTAATGCTAGCAAAATAGTTTGTATTGTTTTTTTTCTGTAGAGTGCGACAGTTAGAACTCGTTCTCCGATTATTTATTTCATTGCTTCCAACCAGACTAATTCAAACAGAGAAAGACATCATCAAAACAAACCACAGGTGGTCTGGCCAGTAAACATTGACTTCTTACACTTTCACCGCGTGGACATGCATCGACATCCCTTTGTCCGCCAAAAAAGTGACGTATTCCCGAATCATGGTTTATTTGTTCTCCGGAGTACGGTCAATATTGAAGCTCCCAGCGCCTACCCTCCTGTCTCAATGCCGGTGCTTTGACGCGCCTCGCCCGGCAACCTGTTTGATCTGTGCGCGCTTGGGTGGGTTTTTGTAACGAGTTTTTCAACAAAGATTGTCCGAGATCGATACATGTATACACTGAGCATTAGACTCTCAGTCCTTGAGATTTAGGTTAGGGAAAGTGTTATTTATTTGAAATGTTGTAAACAATAGGCCTCGGCGATTTCAGGTTTTCTTTTGGAACAAATTATTACAGGCAGAAACGCATCAGTGATTTATTAAGTGAATGTATGACTAAATGTCATTAAGGTTTTACAAATGATGGGCACTATGGAGAAAAGCTGAGGCTTGTACATACATGCTTACTTATACTAAAAAAAATCATGTAAACAGTTATACTAGTGTACCGTTTCAAACTACATTTACAAAATGTATCAATAATATAAAGCTGGAGTAAGTCTCAGCGAGTTCATTTTTTTTCGGAACCAATATTAGAGGCAATATTTGTATTAGATGCATGTATGACATCAAAATGTCATTACAAATTTTACATAAACCATGGCGATAAATGACGGGCACCGTAAAGGAAAGCCGAGGCTTGTGTACAATACCTGCTTCTTATTATCATTCATGTAAACAGCTATTAGTACCGTTTCAAACTACATATACACAATTGATCAAACTATTATACACAATTTATCAATACTATATTTAAGCTGTAGTATAGTTTTTATCACACCACGCTGAGCTGGTATGATGCTCAATCTTCCCAACCCAAACGGACATGGAAGAAAACTTACGCTAGGGATACCCGTTCATAAATGGGTGTCACAGGTCACCTGTCCCAACAATGCTAGAGTCCTGTCTGTCATCTTTTGTCCGTCAACAATACTCCTACAATAGCACCACCTGGGTACATTCATAAAGGAATATGGCACCTGTTTCTTGGACCTGATACCATTCCGAATGGAATCGGATAGGATGTTTTGTATGGGTTTGGTTAGTGCGTGGTGGTCTTTCACACGTTTTGGTTATTTCGGGTTAAATGGACGGTAAGCATAAACCAATCTGCTTAGACTTGATGCATTTGTGGGAAATGTTCAATTGATGAACTGGGTAAAGTGTATGGGCATCTCATCAGCAATTCGACTCGATTCAATTTAATCATATACATGTATTTACTAAGCAAAGAATGTGCTGCAATCTGCAAAGATTACCGCTTCATAATTATAATGTATTTTTTTATATTTTTGTATGTATTTATTTATTTATTTATTTCATACATCATACAAGAGCGCAAGAGCCAAAGACGATGGATAAATTGACTAATTTACAGTAGGCCTAAAACATTCAAAATTAGCAAATTTGTATAAAAATCAATACATCAAAACAAATTTAAAAAAATACTAAACAAATGCACAAGATGAAACAGGCTCGCTCTGTGCTTGACTCTCAATCAATACATGAAGGTAGTCCCATTATAAAATTAATGTAAAATACTACATAGTAATCCCACAATTATAATCAAGTCTTTTGAACATTATATGCATTATAAGATGAGACATGCTCACCCTGGGTCTCGGACCTTCTTATCCATGATGTACGTCCCACATAAAAAAAAAAATATAAAAGATCAAGACGAACAAGACCTCGAGATGTTTTATACCAAATATTTCTATATTTTTCAGGAACTGGGGGCCTAATTTTAAGGTATTGTGTCCCTGTACAATCAATTTGTCATCATTATATCACTGTAATAGTTTAACTCAGTTTTTCAACTACCTCCGAATAAAAACTCACATATCAACCTCAGTTCTCTAATTACTCCCATAGTCTACATTCTTAAGTATTGCCCAAATAACTAGTTTACTGTTCACTTTGAGTGATTATTGTGGCTGTTTGACTTTGGTTTTGGTGTTGTTTGCTTGTCGCATTTATTGTAAACATCGCGGATCTTTTCTTTATGTTAATCACAGAAGCTATCCTATCATTGATTGGGCCGTGACGATGACGTCACGCTGAAGTCTTGCCTCTGCGTTGCCTCTGCGTTTTCACCAGTCAAGGAGTACAGTGGATTCTACACAGCTACGCAGGTAAGCCCGTTGCCATGGTAATCCATATTTGGCCAATTTGGGATGGAATTGGCGATGCCTCCGTTGATTTCTTTGAGTATGGACCATGCATGCTACATTTTGTTTAAAAATTGGATGCTGCGGTCACGTTGTGCCATTTTTTCAGGAAATTGTTTTCTTCGGAACTGCATCGGATGTCTTGAAATGTGATTGGTGTTAAAGTGGTGGCATAAATTGTTTAATGTGGCCAAAATAAGATGCGAATTATGCTTAAATGTTTGAGTTTTGTGTTGGTTGGCCTTTGTTATGACGTCACATTAACATGATCTAAAGCATATATAATGTTGTACACACTGCACACAAATCTTTCAACAGCATAGAAGGTACAGACCAAGCCTACTTTTCCGACCTATAGATTGCATCTTCATATATATTCTACTGTCACAACCATTCCATTCAATCTTCATTGCAGTTTGTGTTCACGTCTCCAAAATATTTCTAATCGACGTACAACATTGAAGTAAAATACGCTATTAGACCTCCCCTGGTTTGTCTGTACCTATCTGTAAAATATATTTTATATACTTGTTTTGTCAGAAAATGTCCCTTTTGAAAGGATGTTTTCGTAAATCCTTCAGGCCTAACACGTTAATGACTAGTGTTGTTTTTATTATAAAAAAAAGTCAAAAACTATCAGAAGAAAAAACAGCAAAAACTTATCCCATTTTTCCTTACCAAAATAAAACCTGAATTATACCCCTATGGGGAACACAGGAATGGTGGAAATAAAGGTGGAAAAGGCGGTGAAAGTTATGAATGGGATACCGTTTAACGGTTCATTCTCACGGTATATTGCGGTTAGCGGGGCGTGACAGAGCCGTGAATTCACCTGCCAGTGGTGGGCTTGGGCACCCATTGTTACCCTTGGTCTAGTGGGGGTTTGCCCGGAGGTTAATTAAACAATTTGGGGGGAAACCAACTGATGGTTCAAAGAACCGGGGAGTGCTTGTCACAACACGGCTCGGCTCCTGAGAGGATCGCGTACACCGAATAGAAAGAAGTGCATTAGAATCCATATGCGAATAAGTTTGTGTATGAATTCTTCAATTAACCGTAACCTCAGGCACTATTTTCCGGGAACCATCTTGGATCCTCATCTGTCACTGTTCAGGAACCGAGAGTCATGCATGTGTATTTTACTGTAACGTTCAAGGGGCACCAAGCCCAATCTGCATGGACCATTCTATAAATATAGGGTCCAAAGTGGGACATTTTTTTTCCTGTCCCTGTTACCTTGATAATTTGTAATTCGACATTCAAGTATCATTGAGAATGAATTCAGACATTTGTTTTAATTTGTTGGGTAGGTAGTTTGCTATTTTCATTAACTATTCACAAAATACCTAAGACAGTTTACCCATTCATATTGGTCGAGAGCCCGTCACGTGGCCGGTCTTAAACGGTTGACAAAGATCGGCGGGCTGGTCTTAAACACTTTTCCAGTGTCACATGAAATTGTGACTCATATGACATCCGGTGCCTTTTACCGTTTAATTGGTTGAACGTTCACAATCCTCATGTAGGCATGCGCAATACTACCAGTTAGTCAAAATGTCATAGTCCTAAATTCACAATACACCGGCACAACTGCGTTGTGCGCGACATTGCGCAGTACGCGCGACGCGTGCGCCAATCTCCATACAAGGAGTTGTTTACGACACTTGCGAGACTGGATATGCCATAATATAGCTAGAGGGGTGTCCCGAAAAACATGAGGTAAAATTGTTGAACAAAATCGTTGAAAAGTTATATTTTTTACTATAATTTTTGAAAGATATTTATGAATGGGAAATAATATGTACTGGGCCGATGTTAAACACTTTGTTTGAGACCGGTTGGAGTCTGGATGCTGATTCCCCGAGCCGAAGGCGAGGGTAATTATCAGCATCCAGTCTCCATCTGGTCTTAAACAAAGTTTCTACACCGGTCAAGCACACATTTATTCCCATATATAGGACGACTGCATCAAGGAGTGCATCAGAATTATAAAATCATACACATCAGATTACAGGGACAGGAAAAAGATGAACTCCAAATGTATAGAATGACCAGGCTATACCCAAGTGCATATAAATGTGACCGCTGGTTGTTCTACATTTGTCATACGAAATCCCCTACACCCATACCCTTTAGATGGGTCTTAACATCGGATCCTGGCAAACAAAGAGCTTACTTTATCCCAAGTAGCCGATAGAATGCTTCATGAAGAATTGTTTAAGGTAGTTTTTGTAACCATTAGTAATCATCAATAAAAACAGTGTTTGGAATGTCTCTTCTCTTTGCGTCTTCCATTAAAAGGACTTATGCCGCTATCACAACCACTTAGACGCTTCACTGATACGAAAACAACGGGGAAAATCGAAATAGCCGACATATTTAGGCCGACATGTTTAACCACTAATAAAAGAGCCCGCGTGAAAGTCAATAAAATATTATGCCCAATAAAGTGCCTCATAGTAAAACTAACAACAACATCAGCACGTTGCTGCACTTACAGTATGCGATTATATGTCATATTCTGTTGTTTGCAAACGCGAGTCAGATTTTTATTGTACGTCTTGCTGTGCTGGCAGAAACAAGGAACCTTGATATTACCGGGCGGACACCATCTTTGTGTATGACTTAAAATCTCGACCCGAACCTCGCCACAAACTCAACCAAAAGGGGAATTTGAAACAAAATCTGATCTTGGCATTTGAGCCATGTACGACTAACTCCTTCACACGGCCAAAAAAAATGACTTGGGCGTCAGAAAACCATAGTAAAACGGCCATGGTGAAACAAAACACGCAAAGCTGCAATATTCAATATCTAATCCAGCAGGAATATGAAATGGTTGAGGGTAACATACACAACAGTCACCTGCTAAAGGGAAGCCAACGCCATAGGCAAGGCGACACAGTGTTATAAAAAGTTAGGAAAACGATACATATCTTACATATCGGCCAAAGGGTTCGTGCGTCTTGATGATAGACGTGGATTAGGGTTTCTAGAAGAAGGTATAATGGCCTGCATATGAATTTGCCTGGGGCGAAAAGTCTATTAGTTTCAAGCCAGATATTGCAATTAGATAGACGTGTGTCAGCCTCATCGGATATAAAGCACCTTCAGGAGAGTTCAGAACGAATGCATTTTGAAGGGACCTGAAACATATAATGGACAAAAAGTCTTCACAGTTTGTAGTGTTCATACCGGTACTATCAATGACCATTTAGGGGGGCGTGGCTATTTGTTGTAGAGGGGTATTCCTGAGATGAAGTAAGTTGTAGGCCCATATAGGTAAACACTTGATAACATTTCTATAGAGTATTCACCTACCGACAGGTTCTACGGTTGTTTCTTCAGTGACCACAGACATTCACAGAGTTTAAAACCAGACTGTTGAAAATGAGAGGTTTTATGACAGGGAGACGGTCAAAAAAAAAGGTTGCTATGCAATTCGATTTGGAAGAATGCCGTGATGGAGCATCTCATGCTATACTCGACGCAAACCTCTTTGGCAAGAGGAGAGAGTGCTTACCATAAAATCAAGCTTGGCCAACATTCTGTGTCATAAACTTAGATTCGGACCATGATCATACTTGTTTCCACCTTGTGCGCCTTGCGAGGAAACTCTCTCATCGCCTTAACTCCCTATCTTGCAAGGTGGGTTCGGGGGAACTCGACCTAAAGATATACATGTGGTTCCTGTCCGATTGAGTACGTCTAGTTCACTCCTAAGATGGATTTAGTTCGTGTTCCTTTACTTGGAATATATGTCTACTTTAACAATTAGGCCAAAAAAAAAATAATAGTTCTGCTTCCGGTTTCCCTACCTACCCTATTCTGCGTCCCCCTAATTTTTTTTATGGGCAAAATGAGAAAAAAACACCCAAAACCATCAATTTCTAAGTTTTACCCTTGACTACACGCAGACGCCTCCATATGATTGTACACATAAAAAATTGGCAAAATAAAAAAAAATTGCCTACCTACCTACCCTATTTTAGAATGCCATGTAATCGGAAGCAGAACTATTATTTTTTTTGGCCTTAGCCCTCTCCGATCTTACGTCCGGCAAACCAATTTGCTCATTAAGCTGAATCTCGACCAGCTTTTTTCAGTGAGCAAAAATCAGCCAGTTAGTGCACTGTGCATGGCCGTTGACTGGTAACAAATTTGTTTTGATTTGCTAAGCAGATATTTTCTTTGCTTAACCTTTTTCCTGAGCTGAATAGTCTTCCAAGTTGTCTCCATTGAACACAATTTTGATCTTTTATAGTTTCCTCATTAGGGTAAAAAAAAAGAACCATAGGCTCAATAATTCGATTGACTTTTATTCCAAATCTTTCGTGGTTATCTTTAGTAACAAAATCCACTGATGAACAAATAGCCTTGCAGTTTTGTTTTATCAAACGAGACTAAAATAAGGAAGCAGCACTCTAACAATAGGCCTTGATTGCAAAAGTTGCGATTGGAAAAAGTCATTTCCTGAGAAAAAAAATCAGAGTTCGCCTTCAATTAGAAGTTATTTTTGGATGTTCAACATCGTGCGAGATGCGATTTTGTTTTACCCGAGACCATAAAACTACTTAAGAACACCTGAAAGGGTCATGTAATTGAGAAAGCATTGATTGCAAAATGTCATTACTTGGCTAGGAGACCTATCCGTGAGAGCTTGCAACAAGATGATTTACTTCAGAATGGCGTCTAATAATTAGGAAACCCTAGTGATTTGGACTGCTCAGGAAAAGCTTGTATAATGACCCTCGGGTTATATAAGATGAGCAATTTGAGAAGAGGTCATTTAGAGATCACGGTGGGAGGATGGGGGTGGGATCAAAGGCCGACCGTGCAAAGGGAAAAGACGCCAGAAGAGCGTCATACAGGGATGAAAACAAATTCACCCCAACGGCATTAGAAGAGCAGGTTCAATGGAACGAACGTGATTGGTTGTGACTGCGTCGCTGTTCTGAATTTGA